AGTGTTTTTTCCCATTTAAAATTTTTTATTTTATAATTAATACATGTAGTATAAATTACAAAATAATATATTTTTTATTATTTATTTTTAACAATAATTTTTTAATTATAATTTTTTTAAAGTAAAAATACAACTTCTAACAACCCGCAAAGTGGGTTGGGAAATGTTAGAATCAATAAAGTTAGAGGGCTGGACTATCTGCTCCTATAATCTCTTGACCCCTTCTTAAAGTCCCTGTCACCAATAAATAATCACCTTGTTCTTATTTTAGATTTCTTTTATACCTAAAGTATTGAGGGCAAGGGGAAGTATAAGGTTAGTGCACAACAGTGATTCTAATGGAGACTTATAATGAGCAGTTTGTCCTAAGAAGAGACCATTTATCTATCAGGAACCGTGAGCAATAAGATTGAGGCTACTTGTTCGGCTTTTTATTAGTAGTTAAACTTAGATTGAAGGTCTAGTTGCTTTTAACGGAAAGCCCATGGAGAACAATAGGAATATAACAAATAGCATTATTATCATGGACTCATCCCATCTCCATAATCCAGGCCCAACCAAACAAAGTCTCAAGAGCACGACATTGAGATGAATGTATAAAATTTCATAAGGTGGTACTATTGAGATAATTTTTTTATTTTATTTTTTTATATATTTTTTATTAATAATTAAATGAGTAGATATATTTAATATTACATGTCTCATATAAATTAAAAAAACTAATTACTTTAATGACACATCAAGTTGTATAAAAAAATAAAATGAATAGGTTGTACCAAAAACATTTCTCATTGTAGAAACCACGTATTTTTATTGTATGTTCAAAATCAATTACTCATCTAAATAAATGAGAATTGTTGTAGAATAAGAAAACAAATAGAAGAAGAATGTGAAATTGAAAAATGAAAAGAGGCAAAGAGATCATAAAAAGATTATTATTCTTCTTTATTCTTTTATCTTATTCTATACACTTACACATCCTATATATAAGGCAATAAAGTCATAGGAGTTCTAAAAATTACCATAAGAATAGTTAATCAATACTAAATCATCATTGGTTATATTTGAAAGTGAGGAAGTTAATTACTATTATGATTATATAAAAGTTACATCATTATTTATGTATATATGTCATAAAAAGTGAAGAGATAGAAAATGAAAAATGTAAAACATTTACAAACTAATTAATTCATAATAATAACGATTTTTTAGTTTGAATTATGAATGTATATGAATACTTTTAATAAATAAAAATTACTAAAAATATTTAAGTATTATATTACTTAAATTACTTGTAGTGTAATTTAGAAAAGATATTTCTATAAATAAATTTCAATATTTACGTGTGAATAGACTAGTTGGTAGCATGGTATAAAAATATCAATAATTTAAGTGAATTAATAGTAAATTTTTAACTACTAACTTATGTGGATAAAAACAAGGCCACGTCAATTTTAGGTTATGTTAATTACACCTCATCAAAAAAACTAAAAAAAAATGTCATATGCAGTCTTTTAACAACTAATTTACCTGACATTTAACTGAAGAAAAAATTATAAATGTGTAATTTTAAGGGTTGAGAGACTAAAAAAATGTAAAATAATTAAATATAAAAATTATATAAAAATTTAAAATTCAGAGTTAAAATTCACATTTAACCAAAATTCTACGAGATCCGCCGACACGAGAGCGTCTCACCAATCATACGTGCGTGCTTGCCTCATTCACCTGGACTTGACGGGCCTCATTCATACATACAAACTCAGCCCATATTTCTTGTTTGACCCGGCCCCTGCTCTGCTCCTCTTCCAACTTTTGGGCCTTTACCTTGATTTTTTTTTTAATATTTTATAATTTAAACTACACAATATAAAACTTCATTTAATATTATTTTTTATACTTTATCTTTTAATTTTATATTTTTTATTATTTTAAAAATATATAAAATATTAATTAAAATAAATATTAAATATATAGAATATATTTTATATATTTTAAAATTTCTAATATCTAGAACTATTCCATTATCGAATAATTTTTATTTTACATTTCCTACTCTTTTACATTATAGAATAAAATAATTCATAAAAAATATTTTTCTTTTATAGTCTCCTATAGAATAATGTAAAAAAAATTACAAACTAAAAAGTAGGAAGAAAAACACCCAAATCGTGTGGTTTAATTAAAGCATTATAGCAAAAATTAAAATAACCTCATTTTTGTTTTGAAAATAAGATACTTCAATAAATTTTAGTGACAGTATTACGAAACGAAATTCTTTTTGAATAGTTTTTCTTATTAATTTTTTTTAGAGATTTGGTATGTGTATAAATTTTTATAGAAATACAATTACAAGCATAAATTAAGTGCTCATCATTGAATAAAACGGGACAGAATCACATTTTTAACAAAATAAAAAATTACAAATTAAACAAAATGGTAAAACCACAAATTATAAACTAAATGAAAAATTGAAAACTAACAAACAAAAATAAGTAGAATAAACACTTGCAAGCCAGACTTCCATATTCGTTGTTGATTAACAAAGAACAAGGGCTCCTGGAGTCCATACTCCATACTACTTATAATGAGTTCTAAAATCTTAATTAGCGTACTTAAAATTCCGTTCAAATCTCTAAAGCAGAAATATGTACTAAAAAACAAATTATCATCTCTAAAACAGAAATGAAATAGACGTCACTGTGAAGAAAACTACATGTATAAAATGTATTACAGAAATTAGAAAACCAATAAGTGATTCAGAACAGAAGAAGCAACAGCAGGAGCAGGTCTCTCGTCTCATCTCATCTCATCTCATCTCATCTAGGCGTGATGGTGGGAATCACTCCACTAACAAGGCCACTACCAGAAATATCTGAGGATGTGTAAGGATTCTTCACCACAGAAGATGACGAAGGTGGAGTACTAGACATCTTTTCTGGATTAGTTTCAATGGATTCTGCCAGGAAGGTCTCAGACTCCGGCATCATCAGCCTTATAGTTTCTAGTGTTCGGAACACCTCTGCCATTGAAGGTCTTGAATCTGTTTCGTCTTGGCAACATTTAATGGCCAAATTTACGAACTTCTCCACGCATTCAGAGGGATAAGAACCCATTCTTCCATCAATAACCGAGAATATCATCCCAGATTGATGTGCAATATTAACCTGGTGCATTTAAATTAACAAGTTAATTACTAAACACTTTTTCCAGGCCATGCTCCACTCACAAGAATTTAAAACTACCAAAAGACAGGGAAAGCTATTACCTCTCGAACAAGGTTTTTGCCATGGGTGATTGGCTGCATCCCTGTCAAAAGCTCTAGAAACACGACACCAAGGCTATATACATCACTCTTGTCTGTCAACTTATGTGTCAGGAAGTACTCTGGATCAAGGTAACCCTACATACACAATAAAACAATGAGATGCCAGCTACAGTTAACTCATGCACGTTGTCACACTGTATCTACCCACGGTCCACCTAATTTGAATCCCTTCTCTTTCACTGCAGATATTTAAAAAAATATATACAATAGCTGCTAATTTCATTTAAGTGACAAACTTACAGGAGTCCCCTTTACAACAGTGGATACATGAGCAGGTGCTGCCCCTTCAATATCTGGAACGGGAGCAAGTCTTGAAAGTCCAAAATCAGCAACCTTGGCAATGAATTTGGAATCCAATAATATGTTGCTGGCCTTGATATCCCGATGAAATATCGGAGGATCAGCTTCTGTGTGTAGGTAGAGGATTCCCCTGGATGAACCAATGGCAATTCTCAACCTCATTGCAAAACCCAGAGGTTCTTTAGTCTTTCCTGTGGTACCATAGACATGCAACATTATACTAAGGACATGATGTTTGCATATAGAATTTGAGGTGAAAGGAAACAGTGATTTTGGATTACTAGCGTAAAATGCAAATTCAACTGAAGAATGCAAGGTGTACCCGAAAGATGATCCCGCAGGGTGCCATTGGCCATATACTCATACACCAACATCTGTTGACAGTAATGGATGTGAAGCTTTTTTCCAGATGATAAGCAATGTAATTGCATCATTTCCATTTTATCCTTCAAAAAAAAATTAAATAAATAAAAAAAGAGGAGAAAAAGTACCTGTTCACCTTCTTCGTCGCAATAACCAAGCAAAGAAACAAGGTTCCGATGATGTAACCTTGACAACAACTGTATTTCAGTTAGGAACTCCTTTTCACCCTGTAACGACCCCTCTTGTGCACGTTTTATGGCCACAACAGTGCCATCA